CTACTACGTTGATTTCTACGTCTATTTCGCGTTTTTTGGCATTTTTTTAAAATTTCATTGAGAAAATTTTTGAAAATTCATACTTTTTTTGTATTTTTTGTTGCAAATTTCTTAAAAATTCAAGAAATTTATGTTTCCTATATTTTGTCATCGTAATTATTAAATAAACCAAAATTTTCTTTCAGTTCATTTTGCAAATACAATTTTCTCAATTATCAAAGATATTTTTCATGCGATAAAATCGTAATTTTTTATAAAGATTTTATTAACTTCAAAATCGATTCAAAACTAAATTAATTTTCAGAAGCGCAAAAGCTATGATTCCTCGTAATTCTGATATTTTTGTTTGTACCTATCCTAAATGTGGAACTACATGGATACAACACATATGTTCACAGTTAATGACTGATAATTATGGACCACAAGTTGGAAGTGGTAACTATTATAGTTTTTTTGTTTCAAAAAAAATAGTTTTAATCATTCAAAATTTAAAGCAAACTAAATTCTGAGAATTTTATTCAAAACCAAAATTATTCTTATATGTATTTTTTTTAAATTCATAACAACAAATTGCTATCAGTATTTGCCAATTTTTATATAAATTCTTAAAAATAATAAGTGAAAACTTAAGTCTTTTGAAAGTCAATTGAAGTTATTAAAATTAAAATTTAAGTTAATTTTAAAAAAGCTAAACTTTTTTCAAACTTTATATTAAGTTTGTAAATATGTCAACTTTGACTTTAGAAGTTTCAGAATTGTGCATGACAAGTCCGATGATTGAACGAATGGGTGCTGAATTTGCGAATAATCTAAGTTGTCCACGACTATTAAAAACTCATTTTGCCTGGTATAATATTCCTAAAAATCCAAATGCTAAATATATTTTCGCTGTTCGCAATCCAAAAGATTGCCTCACAAGGTATAATATTTGAACTTGAAATTTCTTCTTTCTTAGTTTGAATTGATTCTGAAAAAAATTATGAAAAAGCCTTTACAATTATAATAATCACTATAACTTATATTACTTTAGTTTTTTCTTGCCATCGTTTTTACTATTTACATCTTCAATGTTATTATCATTAAAGTTATCATTATATCGCTGTCATTATTACTATTATTTTAAATCGTTGATTAATTGTCAGACTATTCTACTGTTATCAGTATTTCTTAAACGATAATTAATTACACTCTATACAGTCGATGATAAAAATAATCGCAACTCAAATAGTGGCTTGTTATGACTTCAACTATTAATGATCATAATGAAAGTAGATTCAGCTTATAATCGCACTTAAAAATTTTTGAATATAAATTAATTCAGTGATAATCTTGATAAAACTTTACTATTATTATACTAACTATAATTATTCCTACCACTTTAATATTCATAGTTTCTAATATTATTGTAATAATTTACATAATTATTTATCATTATTTTTTTCATTTATAAATAAATCATTAAAATAATTTAAGTATTATTAAAAATTGTTATTGCAGTTATTTCTTCCACAATCGCAACTTCAAAATTTACAATTATGAACATGGAAAATTCTCAAATTTCTTCGAACTATTTTTGACAAAGAATATAGCGTTTGGAAATTATTTCGATCATTTAATCAGTTGGCTACCACATATTCATGATGATAACATATTATTCCTAAAATACGAAGATATGTATGCTAATTTACGACATAGTGTACAACAAATTGGTCAATTTATTGGTGGCAAAGCTGCAGAACGAATTCAAAATGATCAAATTCTTGATCAAATTGTTGAAAATAGCACAATCAAATCAATGAAAAAAGATCAGTGGCGATGGTTTCCAGAAAATAATTTGTAAGCTAATTTTTTATTTAAATATTTTATTATAGCTATTTGCTGAACAGATAGATATTTAACTTTTTTTTTTTAAATAAAAATTTTAGTAAATAATTTTTTTTGATAAAATGATAATACTTTTATAGTAATAAAAAAAAACGTGTTTTTTTTCAAAAAAAAAGAAAAAAAGGAAATAAAAACTTTAAAACTTGTGATAAAAACAAGTTTATATTTTAGAACAAACAAAGACATAAAATAAAGTAAGTATAATTCTTCTGCTAAATACTACTAGACTAATTTTCAAAATTGATTATAATTTATCAAAATAAACAAAATTAAAAATTTTAAAAAATGTAAAAATTATTGAAAAAAAAATTGGCAAACAAATTATAACTAATTTATTCTTAAAAATTTAGCATAATTTAATGCTTTTCTATGAGAAAATTTTAAAAAAATTTAATAATTGCTATTAAAAAGTGTAACTTTTTGCTGCAAAATCTTTTACCATTTAATTTGATTTATAATTTCGTTTTCTAATTTTTTAAAAATTGCTTGAAAAAAAAGAAAAAAAAAGTAATCATAAGTTCAGTGGCCTGTCGTTTAAGAATTATTCACGTCATTTCATCTTGCAAGTCAAACAGCCGTTCAACTGTAAAGTTAAAAGATTGATTACCGCAAAGAAAAAATCAATTCAAAATAATTATAGTCGAAAAAAAAATTTTCTTTGATAATTAATTACTTCCAATTTTTTTTTTGCTAATTATTTTTTATTTTTTTAGTAAAGAGCTAAAAATAAAAATGAGAAAGTAAAAGTAAATCAATAAAATAGATTCATCTGTTGTAAAAAAACAGATAAAAAAATTAAAGTGTTAAAAAAGTTTGTAAAAAGTAAAATTTTTATAAAAAAAGTAAGTAATTAATGTTTTTGCGATTTTTTATATTACTTTTTAACATTTTTTTTTAGTTTTTTTTCCACAAAATGTGGTTATAATTTGTAGCAAACTCATTTTTTTGCAAAGGAAAAAATTAAAAAATTAAAAAAAAAGATAATTTCTTCAAAAAAAAAGATTGGCATTAATTTATTACATATGCTTCACAATTTATTAGAGACCAACTCCAAATGATAAAATTTAAATTTTTTTTGAAAAAAATTCATAATTTTTATAGAATAAGTAATCAGAAATTAAATTAAAAATCAAAAACTGCTATCATTTATTTTACAGATGTCATAGACATTTTGCTGAAAAAATATTAGCGTAATAAAATTAGTATAAAATATAATTTTTAAGATTCTTTTTGATAATTTTCGCGCTAATAAGTTTTGATGATTTTTGCGCTTAAAAATTTTGATTTTTCTAAGCGAAATAGAATTTTCTGCTATTTTTTACCGCCTAATTGTTTGTTGTTGATAAAATATGGTTTTAATTTTTATCAACAACAAAAAATTAGGCGGTAAAAAGTTATCGTATCTGCCCAAAATTATGAGTGCAGCCAAAAATTATTTAAATATGGAATAAAATATCTTGCACATTTTTGTAATTCCTCATAAAAATTGTGATTTTTTTTTGAAAAAAAAGACTTTCATTTGCAAGAAATACTAATAAGTTTAAAAAGGCTCTAATTTTTTTTAGTTTTTTAATCGTATTTTTTTAATAAATTTTTGCATATTTCTGCAATAATTTTTACATATTTTGATGACTATGAGTATATTTGGAATAATTTTTATGTTAATATTGCAAAATTTTTAGATATTTTATGGATTAAAAATATATTTTACATAATTTTTATCCAAATCTTGAAAGGAATTTCTTCATATTTGAATAATTTTCGTTACGAATTTTTCAAAAACTTTTACATACTTTTAATGATTTTCATGTATTTTAAACGTATTTTACCTTATTTTTCAATTGAATTTTTTGATAGATTTCGGTACATTTTTATAATATTTCGGAAGGTGATTTTATTTATTTTATGCAGATTTTTATTTAATTCTAGCATGTTTCCGGTAATTTTTTGGTCACTACTATAACTTTGATACAAATTTTCTCTGACCATTAACACATATTTGATTAGCATATAACTGTTTTATTGTTTAATAAAAATATTGATGATAACGTTTAGTATATAATAATATTTTTTGCAGACATCAGAATACTTTTATCCGAAAAGGTGGAAGCCGAGATTGGAAAAATTACTTTAGTCGAGAACAGTCAGATCGACTTGATAGTATATTTCACGAACGTCTAGATGGAACAATTGCGGAACAGTGGTGGAAAGATGAAATGGCTTGGAATCTAGAAGAAAATGATAATAATGATGATGAATACGATGATGGAATTGATTTAGATTTCAATGGTTTATCAGATGATACAAATAGTTCAAGAAGTTCAAGACGTGCGTCATTAGAAGATTCCGAACAAGATTCTATTATTAATGCAATGGGTTTCAGTAATTTGCAAAATGCCCTTCAGAAGTACATACCTTGGCGTGAACGGTTATCATCACAATCATCTTCTGGATACAATTCATTATCATCATCTTTATATTAATAATTTACGGAAATGTTATACTTTAATTTCAGTATAAAGTTTTAATAAACTTTCATTCCGGAATAATTTCTACTTAATATTTTATCTGCCTAAATTCAGTTCAATTTATTGTTTCATACATTTTTCTATTAGTTGTTGTTATATTTGTTTTGTTTTTTCTTAATTACTTATTGCTACTATATTTTTATCTTTTGTCTATATCCTTCTTTTGTATTTTAGCCATTTTTTATTACCTAATCACGTCATTTTCTTAAAACTGTAATAAATTAAATACCAGTCGAAGTTTGAGTGTATCTTGATAAAATAATAATTTGTCTGTATTATATATTCGATTATTGAATTTTCGTGCTTTGATACTTTGTACATCGAATTAAGTCTAAAATTCTAATTATTTTAATTATTTTTAAATTTTTTTATCAAAATCATTCCAAAAATAGTATCTGAGCTTCCAATTGTTTAAATAGTTTTTTTTGTTAATAATTTTTCTTAATATTTCATTATTTTTTGCATTAATTCTTATCGATGGTCCAAATAAGTGATGAAGTACTAAAATTTGTATATTTAATTACAATAATTGAAAATTGTTTGTATGTATTTGTTCAGTATTGATTGTTTGTGTGTACAGTAAAAATATAGTCAATAATTAATAAATACTAAAATATTTAATCTTTAATAAAATAAAATAAGAATTGCTTATCCTTCTTCCTTTCACAAAAATTGCAATGAATTCAGCGAATTAAGTACTTGTACAAATATTAGCAAGTATTAGTATTCTTATCTGTATGAAATAAAGAAATTGAAAACTTGAATTTGAATAAATACGATTGCTGGATTAAAAAAAATGATAAATTCAAGAAACTAAGCTAATTGATTAAAAAAATAAGCATTTAATTATATATACATTTAATTAATAATTTTGAACAATGGCTGAAGCTGTTTATGAAAAAACAATCAATAATTCTTGAATCTTCAAAAATTTCTATTTAAAATCCACACAGAATGATTAGTTATCAGAAATTAGTCCAATTGTTGTTCAGTGACGTAATAATTATTACTCTTAAGTAATTACTGATTTCTAAACTTTGAAATTAGTTATTTTGACTTAGTTTTTAGATTCAGAATACAAATTTCTTAATTTTTTTCAAGGTTAAATATTTTAGAGTTTTATCAAAAAAAAAGTTGCACTGGATTTTTGCCAAAGTGATGACTCACTAATAGTAATTGAATGAATTGATATTTTATAAAAATTCATCAACAGTTTGTCACTTTTAAAATTATAGATGATTATACTATTTCAATTTCATACAAAAGTTTTTCATAATTTTATCCCTTGCAAATAATACTACGGTAATTAATTATTATTTAGTATAAAATTAAGTTAAAAATTTATTTAGTTTATAGATTCAGAATACGAATTTCTTAATTTTTATTTTTTATTTTTTCATCTTAATTATGCTTAATTACCCGCGCAAAGGAAATTCATGAAAATTTTATCGAAAACTACATCTGAAATTAGTAATTGAGTACTATTCAATGTACTATAAGTATTATTTTCTTTAATTACATGTGCAAATATTCATTTTTTAATACTTTAGTAGTGTTAAGTGTTATCCAACACGTTTAAGCGTAGATAAATTACTACTGCGCGGGTAATTAAGCACATATAAAGTAATATTTGAATGCTACTTAAAAAACGAATTTTTAATACCAACAAAGGAGAATATTGTACAGATTGACGTTTAAAATGTCTGATGAACAAAATAAGTTAATGGACACACGAATACAAAATTTGCTGGATGCTGTTTAATATTTTATTAATTTGATGAATAAATATCACTCAGTGTAATGAAAAAACAATAATTTGCTGTTTAACATTTCAATACTTAAATTATTAAAAAGATAAATTGAAATTTTTTCTGATTCAAATGTCCATTTATTGAAATTAAAGATTGGGGAAATTAGATTTCCCTTTTAATTTTAATCTAGTTTAACATGCTCTTAATTAATTTTTAGAAAATAAGTAAGTATTAGTATTCCGATCTATATGAAATAATGAAATTGAAAACTTAAATTTTTTGGATGACAAATACTAATTTACAAAAGTACTAAAATAATTTAATATGAAAATGTCAGGAACGAAAAAATTAATTGCGATTATAATTAGTTAAAACAATTTTAGTTGCATTTGAAAAGAAGTATTTTTTCAAAATTTTAATTTTTGAAATTCAGTTTGAATTCTTCTCAAAAAAGTCGTTATAGTAGTATGGGAAAATTTTCAAATTTTGTTTTTTGTTTTCTCAACGATTACGTTCTCATTTTAAAAAATAACCAAAAATAAATTAGCTTTTTTAAAATTAAATCTCGATTTTTTTCAATTTTTCAGCATCTATTAAAATTATTACAATTAATATATGCTTGGTTGTTATATTTTGCACCAATAAGCATAATCAAAAAAGCAAAAAATTTGATTTGATATATAAAGTTTTGATTATTGCATTTTAGTGCCGAACAGATTTAATTGCTTTAGCTTTTCCAACGTGGTAATGTTAAAATGCTCATAACAAGAATAATATTAATAATTAATGGTAGTACTACTACTACTATTATTACAAATAATAATAATAATAATAATAATAACTTTAATATTATTGTTTACGAAAAAAATTATTGCAAGTAAGCATTAATTTTTGCAAAAAGTTTTATTATATTGTTGTGTTACAGTAAAAAAGTTTCGAATACAGTGTGATATTTTATCTTTTCAGGACGTTTTCAGCAAGAAAAAAAACAAAAAAGTATTTGAAAAATAAGAATAAACGAAAAACTGTAAAAAAAAAACAAAATACAAAATTTTAATAATTTTAAGACTGACTGCCTTAGAATACAAAAATTGAAAATTTTCAATAAAAATGACAAATAAGAACTCTGTAACTTTTGAAATTAAAAATTATTAGTAGAAAAAATATTGTAAATAATTTTATTTTTAATTTTGTTTGATTAAATGAATGTGAAGTTTTTATTTGTCATTTTTATTATTTGCCTTTTTGTCGTTAGAAAATGTTCCAAAAAGTAGTCATTAATTACATTTTTATTTTTCTGATTTATTATATTTTATATTGTTGCTTTATTGCTGTTATTATTATTATTACTATTATTATTATTATTATTATTATTATTATTA